TTCGATTTTGGGAAATTAAGGAAGCACTTCCTATTCTACACCTGATTTTGTAGATAATACGTGAATTGCGATAAATTTCGTAACTTATTAGTCGCGCTAAATCAGAAACAAAACACCTTCCGACTTTCTACCGATAGCATCTGACTGACACCTCAAACTGAAACTCCCCCCACCCCTTTCCCACCAGACAAAGAATTCCGCTGGAAGGCACAGCTGTCAGAAAGTAAAACGTTTGTTGCAGTTCCACGCCTGAGAACTACAACACCATTAGAAGAAGGGAACATACTTAAACCTGTGAAAACGTTACTTTAAAAGAGCTTTTTTAGGTCACCCTATTTCAGCCCACCCATTGAACAATCTTCAAGGTGATCCCTCATTGTTTTGAAGCGCACACACGCACGCACACAAACGTGTCGCAGCGCGTTCGGGGAGGCAGCCGTTTGACCCTAGTGCATCTGTCCTTTAGCAGGCTAGCCCGCACTCTCGCACTTGTTCCAGGCAGGGAGACGAGACATGCCGGCACTGAACGTTAGACACGCAGAGCAAGTACGGGTCGGTCAACAAGCGGGACCGCCTCATCCATCCCCGTTCGCCAGCTACCACAACGGGCAGACGACGAGGGTAATCCAATAAGGTCATGAGCGCATGGCGTTAACGACCAGCGGCAGATGTGCAAATTCCACATTAAGCATCAACTGGACAATTAGCGAAAATAAGTATTGTCGTCTGGTCGACTAAATGTGGATAAAATACACCTGCAATTCTGAAAAATTAAATAATAACACTGAGAATTCAGCGTTGATCGATCACTTTCTCGGAATGCGCTACGATTCCACTTTTACTCACAATCTCAGTGGCATCTGAATGCGATATGGCTAATACAGTGAATTGCTTGAATCAGGTGCTATAAACTCGGTTTCTGCTATCCCATATGAAGCTGGCTGAATAATCGATCCCAAAAGGAGGTAGAAATTGATAACCTCACCGAGAACCGATCTAGGGTGCAACATAGAAGTGATACAGTGCGCCACTTGCCACTGCAACAACCCCGTCCAGTGTGAACGCTAGTGACGAATAATGCTAGTAATACATCGCCTCCACCAGAAAACTAGTACGTAGTAAAATTCAGTTGGACTTACTAGAATATTCCATTCAAGCTCCTGTCGAATATCGCTGAGAGCTCCTATATCTTGCCAGGACACATCAGGCACAGTGGCAAAGCCCTCTCTCTTTGCAGATGGTTGAACATTTTCAAGGGCACGTTGAAAGTCTGACATTTTCACGTTGAATCCTCCCAGCCTTTCCAGTACATTCGGATCGTCCTCAGCTTGCAACCATGCCAACACTCAAAAAAGCACACAATGAAGAATCTGTGATTACAACTCGCTACGAAAACTTTGAAACACGGAATGCGTGCGGTTAAGCGCAAGATTCTTTCTGCCCTACAGTTCACACCACTGCCAGATCCCCCTGGAACTTACACCACTGCT